ATAATAGCGTTATTGTTTAGTATGTTTAATGTCTTTTGTTTTGGATTTTAAAATTATTTTTTAAAAGATTTCAATGTAATATATACAAGTACATTTTGGGATCTATTGTGAATAAATAATGAAACTTCCTTAGTTTAGATATAAACCTTATATACATACAGCATTTTAAAACAAGTTTCAAAAATTTATGAATGATGAGACTGTGGCTAAAATAGCTAACAGAATTTCCAATTAGCATCTCAGGTTTTCTTATATCGCAAACATTCTTTAAGGTCACTTGAATAGAACACAATTTCATACAGAATCCACTGGTTAATTGACAAGCAACATCATTATTTATGTTTTGTAACTTTCTGAAAGATTTTTTTTTTATGAAAGGTGTGAGGTGAATCAAAAATTTTGAAACTACATGCTTACTTACTTATTGCACTCAAACAATTACTATTACACCCTAAGTCAGCAATTTCCATCCTTTCCAATGTTATAACCCTTTGACAACATTTGTCAAGTTGTAGCAACCCCAAGAATAAGTTAACAAGGTTGCTCCTAAATCACTGCATTTTTTATTTGAGTTTTTTAACACTTAATAGTCACCATATTTTTTTGTTACAATTTTTTTTATAATTGATTTATAATAATTTATCAACAAAACAATTTATTATATGTTTAAGTAAAAATTTGAATAGGAATAAAATGTTTGGATTGTAGACATTTTATAAAGCTTTAAATTTGAAGTTTTAATTGTGTGTGACTTAAAATCATATAATGTACATTACACAATGCACACTTAAAATATTGTAGAGTGTACAATATTTTAATAGTGCATTGTGTAATGTACATTATGCATTTAGGAGTCACACACAATTAAAGCCATTAACTTGAAAGATGAGGCTTTAATTTACAAAATTTGAAAATAAAATAAAGTTGAAGAAAGCAAAAAATTTGTTAATAATTAATTATAGAAAAGGAAAATTCTAGAGTTGCAAAACCCAAAAAGCATCAGCAAGAAGGCTGTGCTTACTTGGTGGCAACCACTGGCAAATTGTCAAGCAACCCTATTTGGGATTGCAACCCACAGGTTGAGAACCACTACCTTATATGAATAATAATAAAAAACTTAATTATAAAAAAAAGTGAAAGTCATATACTATCATACATGCAGGACCATATTTTATATGAAGTTTTGATGAATATACACTCTAAAAACAATCAGTTTGAAAAAGCAACGGATTGCTTTTTTCCATTAAATTAATGAAGTAGTTCGTAACCAAAAACCACAAAATTAACAGAGTAAAATTAACTATTTACGGACTCTTCAAAATTTCTTCAATTCAACAGATTAAATATTTTAATCCATTTAAAAAAAACTGAACTTTTTATTAAAAAGGGTTTCAAAGTTATAAAGTACTTTCTCTGTAGATTATATTTTTAAATCTTGTTTGTTTGATTTTGATTTGTCTATATATTATAGTTCTTTATTTATAAATGATAAAGTTTTAAATTTGTTTTTCTTAAACTACATTAACATTGCAAAGGTTTGTTGTAGTAAGTTTAATTTGTCATTTTTTAAACAATCTCACATTTAGTCTAAATGTGAAGCTATTTAAAAAAAGTGTTATTCAAATTTTAGTAGTGAAAGCAAATGAAAAAACACACAAGAGGGAGGGAGGGAGATCAAGAAAAGTTGACGTCAATACTTTGTTTTTTTTTGAACATGTTACTTTTTTTTATAAATTTAACTATTAAAAAAAAAAGAAAATTAGGCAGCGTTTGCAGTCTTGTGTTACATAGTTGCTCAACCTTCAGTATTTTAATTCCTATCCAATAATTTATATTCCTACTTTTAAAAACCGTTTTGTGCTTTAAAAAGACCTGACATACAGAGCTAAATAACAAGACTCGTAACACTGTTATTTTTTCAAAGTTATTGTTGTCTCAATCTGCTGTGCATTCAAAAAAGATTCATGTAAGTACATGGTCTACATTACATTGTTTATACGTTTATACAAGGGGTACAACCTGCAGCTCGCAAGCCTCTTGTGATTTTTTTGATGTCAAGATGAAGCTCTTTAGCTGCATCTTGTCATCGAAATATTATTATCTTGACATGCACAAATATTAGTATAATCAGGGCTGCGGAGTCCCAAAAGGACTCCATTTTTATATCTCAATTTTTTACTGGTCTCTGGTGTCCAAAAGCTCTGAACATGTTAGTTGATTTATGATCTGCTAAAGTTTTCATTTTAAATTCATTATATTTCATAAGTTTAAAAAAAACTCATGAAATATAATGAATTGAAACATATTTAAGCCCGGAGTCCCAGAGTCATAGCCGCCATTATACCTGAGGATTCCGGGTTCAAAAAGAGTTTGTTGTTCCTCTAACCTACTTTTTTACCAATAGTAATCCATAAGCGTTTTTATATTATCAGAGCTCCTGGATACCAAAAACTAGGAAGAAGTAATCTTTTTGTGACATTCAAATTCAGAGTCCTTTGCGGGACTCCGCATCCCTAAATATAATATTAAAATAAAGATGTTGGTAGCTCTTTAAAAAATGAAAAACTTTGTATATTGTAACTTTTGGCTCTTCCATCTCAAAAGGTTGCCAATCCCTGGTTTATACAACTTTTTAAATGCTTTTTTTGTTATCTTAGACTCTATTAAAAATAATTGACTTTCACTGTAAATTTGTATTAGGTCTAATGTTAAAGTGAGGAGAATTTTATTAATTTGAAATATGATTATAATTTAATTGTGTAAACATTTTTGTGAACTCTTTAATTTTTTTTTTCTTAAGAGTAATTCTTTGTATTTTTAAACTGGCATTATGTTTATAAGTTAAAGGTTTACATTTTTTTTTCTGTACCTCTTACTTTAATTCACTTTTTGTTCAGAGCAAGCATTTGTAATTTTAAATGATTATATTCATTTGAAATATGTTCATATTTAGAACCGAATATGAGAAATTTATTACACAACCGAAAATATTAACGAAAAAAATTAGAACCGGAAAAATTTCAATCGAATTTTCGATCGAAAGCCATTAATGATTTTAGAACCGAAAAAATTTCGATCGAATTTTCGATCGAATGTTTCGATAATTTTAAATCAGTTGTAAAATTAAAAATGTTAACATTTCTTTTGATGGATATCTTTATTTAGGTTAGTTTCAGCTAAGTTTACATAAAGCTAGTTTATATGCTTTTATAATTTGCAATTTTAGACATGTGGCATGCAATATCACAAAGTAAGTTTAAATTAGTTGTAAAATTAAAAATGTTTACTTCCATTTCTTTTAATGGGTATATTTATTTAGGCTAGTTGCAGCTAAGTTTACATAAATCAGTTGTAAAATGCTTACTTACATTTTTATTTTGATGGATATTTATTTAGGCTGGTTGCAGTTAAGTTTACATAAATCAGTTGTAAAATGCTGACTTGCATTTTTATTTTGATGGCTATTTATTTAGGCTAGTTGCAGCTAAGTTTACATAAATCAATTGTAAAATACTTACTTGTATTTTTATTTTAATATTTATTAGACTAGTTGCAGCTAAATTTACATAAATCAGTTGTAAAATGCTTACTTGCATTTTTATTTTTATTTATTTATTTATTAAATTTATTTTGATTTTTATTTAGGCTAGTAAAATTTAATCTAGGTTTAATTAGTTGTAAAACTTTTTACAACTAATTAAGCATCAGGCACGAGGTATCAAATTTCAATTCTAATACTAATACTTTTAAGGTGTAAATTATTATTAAATCAAAAGATGAGGGACTGTATTTTTTTTTATTCTTGACAACTATTGATGTGTGTAAAATTTTTAGAACCTTTCAGTTAGCAGGTAAGGTTATCCTTTATAGTTCATTTAATTTTTGTTTAATAAATTGAAATGTATAACTAATAAAATAACATAATTTTTTGTAGAAGATAAAGTTTGTTTATCTTTAAGGAATTGACAACAGGTTGCTGAAATTAAAATGTGCACGCACATACAAATTTACAACAGTATTAAAAATTGAAACCTATACAGCAACAATTGTATACATGTCTATGATTTTATATAAAGGTTTTTTGACCTTGAATATAATAACTATTAATAAAATATGTATTAAAAAACATTTTATATTTTTATTTAAATTTTTTAATTTTTATTGTAATTAAAAGTTCCTTTATTGAAATAAATTATTATATTAGTTTTCAATTTAAAACTGTTTTTAAAGCTTGCTAAAATATCTCTCACAATCATGTTAGTTTGTATAAGTAGTACTGCTTGTATCAGATGTTGAATAATCTGTATATTAAAAATAAGGACTATTTTGTAATCAAATCTCAGTTCTATCAGTGATCAGCTTCAAGCTAAATGGCCAAATTTAGCTTTAATCCATTATTTTGTTATAAGCTTCTGTTATAAACACTTATTATAAAAAATCAAAAAAAAAAGTTTTTTAAATGTTTTAGAATGGAAGATTTTTAGAGTATTTTACCAGGTGAAGTTAATATGATGTCATAACTTAATCCTAATTGTAGTAATAGTTTGATAGAAAAAAAAGTATATTTTTTAAAGAGAACAAAACTGTTTATTAGTTTTTTAATTAATATTCTTGATTAGCATTTAAGGGAGTTTTCACCTGTAGATAAAATTGTTTTGCCATTAACTGTTATAATCCTAACAAAGCATTTAAATAAGCTGCTAACTATTCTGCAATTAACAATTGATTACAAAAAAAATATTTATAAACATTTTGTTGTACTACTAATTAACCAAAAATAAAATCCTCTTTGATAATTTAAACTCCTAGAATCCTAAATCAAAAATGATACAATCCTGATAAGGAGATATTTCTCACATTGAAGTAATAACAAATTGAGTATTTAGATTGTTTGTTTGTTTTTATTTTCTTTATTAGGTTTATAGTTAGAATTATAGAATGTACCAAGACTAAAATAGCTCAAATAAAAATTGGATTTACAAATTAAAATGAAACATTACTTGCAGATAACTTGCTGATCCATTTTACTTGATTTAAATCTTTTTGATAACACCTTTGAACAAAATCATCCATTCGAAAATCATTCAAAACTAATCCAAATATCATTTTCCTTGCTCCATTAACATCAAGAACATAACCTTCAAACTTTGATGAATTGTAATTAAAAAACAATGGATTTCCAACAAAACTATTTAAAAAAACAATGAATGAATGAAACTATACATTCAGTCAGTTATGATTTATAATTTATAAATGAATTTATGATTATTCATGCATAAAGGAATATCCAACAAGACTGCATAGAAAAAATACAAAAAAAACTTTTTTTTTTAAAAATCCAACAAATCTATGAAAAAAACTAAACTGTAATTTCATGTCTTCATTGAAATCTGCATCAACTCTCACATCTAATAAATCATAATTCAAAAACTCTATCTGACCGATTGTAGCTTCACCAACTTGTTTAGCACCAAAATTTGTAGCTAATTGTTTTGTAGTAATCTTGTCAATTTTTCCTGAAAAAATGAAAAGAATAAAAAAGACTTTACTATTGAAAATTTTAGGAACTTTTTTTTAAATCAAAAATAATTTTACCTAAAAACAAGTAATGGTCTTTCTTTTTTTCTAGTGAAACATCCATAAAAGTTCCTGCAATTTTTTTTCTTGCATGCATTTCAAACTTCCAACTTTCGTTTCGCTTGTGGGTAATTTCAAACTCTGCATTTTTTACTGCCATTAAATCTTTTCCCATAATTAACTCTTCAGGAGCTAAGCACTTTACATTAATTTCTTTAGTCATAATGTCAACAACAAATTTTGTAATTAGTACCTCTGGCGATACCTGAAATACTTTTGAAAAAAGAGCAACTGGCACTTTAGGAATTAAATTGTTTGTTACACTAGCTAGATCAAATAACAGTTTATCAGGAAACTTGAGAGAAAAACTACCATCAATAAGATATATTTGAACTAAAATTTTATTAGGTTCTTTTACTCTTTGAACAATTTTATCTGATGGTAAATGTAATTTAATTTTGGCCCCTTTGGAAATATTTTTATCTCCTGAAATATATTTATCTAACACCATATTAACATTATCATCTCTTATGTTATACAAGTCTTCATTTGAAAACTCTAAAACAAGATCTGATACAACTCCTTTCAATATTGGAAAAGTTTCAAGACTTCTTCCAGTGGCTATAGATAGAACTAAGTTTGGTTTTATATTGTTTATGCTAGCAACTAAAGCAACACCAGTAGCAGAATCAACTGGTTTTTGAACAACAACTGAGAGCAATATTGCACCAAGCACAGCATGTTGAATTTCTCCTTTAAGAACTATTTCAAAATCACCATTAACACCAATATACCCAGTTAATAGTGGATCTTGCATGTTAGCATCTGTAAAAATATGTGTGTCTATTAATGATCTTTTGTCAAGTAGCGCTTTATTTGTAAGTGATTGGTAGAAATCAAGTGCTGTCATTGAAGTTAATCTAATAGAAATTTGTGCTTCAAGTGAGTTTTTTTTTTTAATTAAAGATATTGGTGCTATATGTTTTCCTATAATTACATTTCCGCTTATTTCAATAGAAAACTTTTCAAAATCAGGCAACCCTGAAACTTCTTTATAATAAAATGTTGTTAACACTTTCCCATCGAAGAGCTAAGGGAAAAATTAACTATAAACATATATTTAGATGTAATAAGTTGTGATGATATATTATAACAATAAAATAATATAAGATGATATACATAACACAATAAAAATAAGATAAATAGTGAAATAAGTTAAAACAATAAAAAACAACCTTCATCTTTCCTTTAATAATTTGAAAACCTTCTTTTGCTGTACTTTCGATATCTACTTCACCTAAGCACTGATCCATAATAAATCTATCAACTTGTAAAATTCTCATAGGTATAAAGTCATATGTTAAATTTTTTATATTGGTTTCTCTATAAAAATACTGAAAAAATTTTGGAACAGTCATTCCTTGACAACTTGATTGTTTTGGCAAAAAAGTAGTTTTACAATCGTCTTTAGCTACTTCAAAAATACAACCTAATGATTCAAACTGTGTTCCTGTCTTTATCTCATCTGTCATTAAAGAAGAAATTTTATCTGGTAATGTCGCAACTGAATCTAAAAAAACAACAATCAACTTTCATTAAATTCTAGCATGTCATAAAAGGCATTGAACATTCCATAAAAAAGAATTGATCGTGCCATAAGAGGCATTGAGCATGCCATAAGAGGCATTGAGCATGCCATAAGTGGCATTGTGTGTCTTAATCAGCTTGAAAAACTATTGCAAAATTTAATGCATACAAAATAATACTTTTAACTTAAATTGAAAAAAGTGCACTGTAAGTTTTTTTCAATTTTTTTTACAATTTTTTTTTTTTTAATATGTTTTTTATACAATGATTATTATTTTTGAAATTTTTATATAAGCTCACTTCATGAGAGATCCAGGTTAGTCTACTATTAAAGCACCCATGAGTAACATCTTAAAAAAACCTTTAATCAAAATTTAAAAACCAGGATTATTTTCTTGTATAGAACACATTTAGAGGGTGTGATATAGCATTCTAGAGTGTGTGATATAGCATTTTTCAACATTCATATCTAAATAATATTTGTCCTAACTCGAACCGTCAGTCGATATATGTACTGAATCCCTTGTAGATGATTACTTGACATAACCAATGATATTTATACAAGGCTAAGTACATGAAGATATTTGTATATATGTAGGTGCGTGTGCACGTGTGATATAAAAGACACTATTTCTGACTTTTTGATATTTTGCGTTTAACCAACTTGCCTATATGACATGGGGGCAAGTTCTAATACAAAAATGTTGTGGCAAATTTGAATTTAGTCATTTCATATGCAGCCTAGATTTAAAAAATTCTAGGCTGATTATAAAAAAGGTGAGAAAGGAGCAATAACCCAATAAAACTTATGCAATAGAGTAACATTACTATACTTAATTTGCCCCAAACAGCAATGAAATAATGGTGGTGTTTGATCTACATGCATGACTGTTTGATTATTTAGCAGTGGCTTTTTTGTTAGATTAGTAAAAATTTAAAACTGATTGACAGAAATTTACATTGATCTATATTTTATAATGATACAATCATATTTATATGAAACTTCACTTTTTTTACTGCTTATTTTTATTTATTTTGCTCTGCATTGGAGAGGTAAATACAGTAAAAAAAATCAGCACAAAAAATATCTCTAAATCTTCTTTTTAAATAACTTCAGTAACTTTTTGAATAAAAAGTTACTGAAGCAAGTTAAAAGTTACTGAAGCAAGTAAAAACTACAAATTTTTAATAAAAAAAATTTTAGAGCTAACTTTTGTTTCAATTTTCTCACTCTCATATAACTATATTTTTGTATTTTGTTTTTATAAACAATATTTTTGTAAGCAAGTATGGGTGCATTTATATTTATAAGATAGATTGGTATATTCCACATTAACAAATTAATTTATATATAACAAATAAATTTGATAAACTAAATACATAATAAATACAAAGCAATGTTGCGCATAAAGTTAACACATTCTATATTAAGTGTCTTAAAAAGAATGCTGCAACTTTGTTTGTTAATTATCTCCACAATTATTTGTGATATTATTCTAGTTTTTTTTTAAAGAATCACTTTTTCTTTACTCTACAAAAACTTATTATTAATTATATAAACAATTATTTTTAATTTAAAAGTTAAAAAATATTGACATAAAATGTGGTATTTTCCAAGTACCAAAAAGGACACGCAGCATCAAGGATTATTGATGATTTAAATGGTTTATTATTTTTTATAAAGTCTAAAGATGTTGCAAAATAATCAAGGATAGAGGAGCTATTGAATATTACTACTCACTTGGTCAACCACAAACTGCACATATAAAAATAAATATTCATAAAAAGCTCATCTAAATCAAAAGAAAATGGTGTCCTTCAGAACATAAAGATTCCATTCACTGAATACTCAAAAGTGATTTTCATTGTCTTTGGTCATCTGGGACGAATGAATGGCAAGCCACAAAGTTTATAAAAAAAATGTTTTTCCACTGGCTCAAAAATATAGCAACCAAGTGTTTGGTGACAATTCAGTATTTCAACATAATGGTGCATTTGCTCACATCCATAACTTTTCCCAAAAATGGTGTTAAGACAACTTTCTAGCTGCATTTGATAAAAAATATGGGCCTATTTCAAAAAACGAATTTTGCATACCTATTGTACTACCAATTTTCCAGACCTGTTGTACTACTTTGCTTAAGATGAACTTGTTCACCAAATTAACTGGTGTAAAGTACGTTAAAAAAAAACATTAGCAAATTCAAGCTTGGAAATAGGATAAGAAAAAGTATTTAAAAGTTCTGTTAGTCCAGGACACTGGACTCAGTGTCCTGGACTAACAGATTGTTGCACATGTCTATGAACTATTTGCATTAAAAAAAAAAAATGAAAAGAAAAGAAAAGTGAATCTTTGAAAAAAATGTAATATTACAAAGAATATATATTTTGGATAAGCATTAATTACCTTAAAATAAAAGACATAAATATATATAACCTCTTTTTTGTTTCTTTAAGTGATGTTTTTCTTTATTTGCAACCACATTAAGATTTAAAAAAATTAGAACCAACCAGCATTGACTTTTCATGCTATGTTAAAATAAAAATAAATAAAAACTTACAATTTGTTTAACTTTGTAACAATCATATTAAATAATGATGTTTTTTTTTTAGAATAACATCATATAAGTTCAAATATAAAATAAACAAAAAGTTATGTAATTATAATTATGTAATTTAATTTTAACATCAAATAATGATTTTTTTATTCTATTTATTAATTTATTTCAGACAAGAACAAATACAGGGTCCTTAGTTAAAATATATAATTTATAGTAATAATATAATCAATATAAAAAACATTTTTTAAGTATATAAGAATTATATAATTAAATATATAATATAACATATACAAATAAATATAGTATAATATAAATATGTTAACTAAATAGTTAAAATGTTTGGTGTACATTTGTTATAAAAAGAGAAGAATAAACAATTTCTAGAAAAATAAAAAAGAAAAGAGCATATGCATATATATATATATATATATATATATATATATATATATATATATATATATATATATATATATATATATATATATATATATATATATATATATATATATATATATATATATATATATATATATATATATATATATGTATATATATATATATATATACATGTATATATATATACATATATATATGTATATATATATATATATATACATATATATATGTATATATATATATATATGTATATATATATGTATACATATATATATGTATATATATATATATATATATACATACATATATATATATATATATATATATATATATATATATATATAAATATATATATATATATATATATACATATATATACATACATATATATATATATATATATATATATATATATATATATATATATATATATATATATATATATATATATATATATATATATATATATATATAAAATATACCTCGTATTCAATATATATCTAAGTATTCAATATATATCTTAGTATTCAATGTATATATATATATATTTAATACATAGTTACATTTTATTTATACCTATTGTAAAGAAATATCATTAGATGAATTCATAATCAAAAAATCAGTTAACCATTGGATTATATCACAGGGTAAATTAAGTTTAATGCCTTAGCTTAAATAAACTCAACACTATGTTTTCTGAGACTCAATTTTTTGGCATAAATTTTTAGCTTCAATTTAAACACAAAAGAACTAACAATTTTTTTTATTTCTTCAGATAGATAATGTTCTAAACGTGTTATAGCTAAATTTTATATGATTATATATATATATATATATATATATATATATATATATATATATATATATATATATATATATATATATATATATATATATATATATATATACATGTATATATATATATATATACATATATATATATATATATATATATATATATATATATATATATATATATATATATATATATATATATATATATATATATATATATACATATATATATATATACATACATACATATATATATATATATATATATATATATATATATATATATATATATATATATATATATATAAAATATACCTCGTATTCAATATATATCTTAGTATTCAATGTATATATATATATATTTAGTACATAGTTATATTTTATTTATACCTATTGTAAAGAAATATCATTAGATGAATTCATATTCAAAAAATCAGTTAAATTTCAAATACATTTCACTATCCAACTCAATGAAATCTAAATAATAGAAATTAAGTCCTCATCAAACGTTTCATTGTTGTAATTGTCATTGCTATCACTACCTTCTTCGCTTTTGCTGTGTTGATGTTGCAAGGTATTGGATGGCAATTTCTATTAGTGAACTTATTACTTCAGAAGGAAGAGGAAACTCACAATAATTCTGAATTGTGTGTAAATTAATACTGGAAATAATAGGATCTGAGATAAAATGGATATGAGAATAATTTTAAACTTTTTAATAAAGTCTTCATCCACATTAGTTATTGGCTCTAACTTATTTATTTGTTAGTCAATATCTTGCTTTTCTTTCAAAATTTAGCATCTGTAAAGGTTGCATCTCTTTATTGAGCTCAACACTTTCAATCTGAATCCGGCATTGTATGGAAAACTGTTGTCATGTCTGGGGTGGATCTTCTAATTATACTCTTTCTCTTTCAAACAAGATGCAAAAACGCATTGTAAACATAATTGGACCTGCTCTTGCAGCCAATTTTTAATAATTATCACATTGTCATAATGTTGCTTCTTTTTCTCTTTTCTACAAATACTATAATGGACACTGCTGTAAAAAGCTAGCACTTCTTGAGCTATCTAATAAAATTCATTCTCATGTTACTTGCCATTCAATTAAGTTTTATCTATTTTCTGTGACTGTTCCTAAATGTTCCAAAAACTCTTATTCGTCTAGTTTTTTTCTTGAACATCAGTTCTTTGGAATTTGCTTCCTTCATCTTGCTTTCCTGATTCATATGATTTGCAATCTTTTAAGTTGTTTGTCAATTGTTATCTTGCTCTACAAACTTCAACTTTTCTCTTTCAGTAACTTTCAACTCTTATAGTGGTTGCTTGCAGCCTTGTTGAAAGCGAAGATTAAAAAAAAAATGTTTAGTGGATTTCTTTATGTATTTAATGGTCTAATAATAAAAAATGGTCTTATTTTAATGGTCTAGAAAACTGCACAGATTGAGGAGTACAATTGTTCCATAAGATCTTATTATCTTCTGAGTTCAAATTTCGTGATACATAAGTTGTCACAAGTAAATTTGAACCAGCATGACGGCCAGCAGTATCAAATTTTGTTTATAGGCTGAATAACCGGAATGACCATTAAAACCATTACTAAATATTATTGCAACTATAATTTTGTTAGTATAAAGGGATTCCATGAAAAATCACTGAAAAATCACTTCCTCTTGTAGATGTACAATAGGTCCCACTGTATGTTCTAATAAATTCTTTAATGGTACTTGTGTAACAATATTGGAAATTGATATATCATTTGGTCTACATCTCAATTTACATTTCCAAATCTTTGTCATCAGGATACAAATTACAATTTCTGATAACAGTTCCTTGTCTAATGTTTTGATATTGTTGTTTACTTAAATTGGTTTGTAATAAATTATAATTTTATTGTTTCCAAAATTAATTATAATGCTTCTTCTGTTGTATAACGTATTGTTTTTATTTGGGGGAAAAAACAGTTTTTTTTATTTAAAAAAAATTAATCACAAAAATATAGTTTTTTAACAATTGTACAACAAAAAAATTTTCTTTGAATATTATTGCTAATAACTACTGTCATATCATTTCCAACTATTTGAATGAGGTGCTTAAAAACATTTGAGTTTGTCTTATTTTTATCTTTCTTTTCCAGCCACACATTGCTGAATTACAGTCTTTATTGTAATAAAAAGAATTTCATCAAAACAAGATTTTATATTAAGAATCAATTTTTCAATAAAGATTTATTGATATTACTTCAAAATAAAACATGACTATCTCCATTTTTATCTTATTATCCAAGAGTTATCCACAGAAATTCAAAAAAAGCACACTTGATTTTATTGTTTATACTAAAAGTTACATAATGAAACTATTCATAAAATTTAAAATTCCAATACCTTTAATTTTAATTTTTTATTTTTCTAGAGCAGACAGGTTTTTTTTTCTCAGGAGTATTTAATGTAAAATAAAGTGATATGATAGCATAATAAATATAAAATTTATTGTAATAATATATAAATAAGTTTATTGCTTTATTTAATATTAATTAAAATTCAATACATGCCTGATAATATCAGGCATGTATTGAATTTTGAAATTGAAATGAACAATATCATGAATTTTTTTGTATGCAATTTTTCTTGTTTTTACCTCTTTACCCTTAGTTTTTTATAAAGTATTGGAACGTTAAGAGTTATTCCTTTAGGTAATTAATTTACAAATTAAAACAAATCTGTGGTCATAGCCTTTCTTTTTTATATATATAACTGTTTTTAATTCAAGAATGTTGCAAATTACTTGGGCTAGCTATAATAAGCAATATTCTCAAACTTAAAAAGTTTTAGTAATACATCAAATTTTATATGGGAGTAATTAGGGAACAATTATTCTATTACCCAATGCACTTTTTTGACATTAGTTTTGGTTTTAAAAAGCGCGCATGTCTATTTTTTAAAATCAGCCAATAAGAATGCGCATATCTCTTTCTATTCTGAGCCTCAAAATATCGTGTCACATGATAGAGCGGAAAATCCTCGAAAATACCGAAATATTTCACAACCGAAAATTTTAGAACCGAAAAGTATACTTTCATTGCAGGATCGAATTACAAAATCCTTTCTTGCGCCGAAAGTTTTTAAACCGAATTTTACAACCGAAAAAATTTGAATCGAATTTCAAAATCATTTCTTTTTTTAATCTTTTTTTTTTTTTTTCAGTTAGTCGTTTTACAATAAAATAAACAATTAAAATTTCTTTAAAATATATATATATATATATATATATATATATATATATATATATATATATATATATATATATATATATATATATATATATATATATATATATACACACACAATGTTTGATAACAGTGTAACTTTCGGTTGTAAACCATTTTAATGAAATTCGGTTCTAAAATCATTACTGACATTCGATCGAAAATTCGATTGAAATTTTTCCGGTTCTAATTTTTTTCGTTAATATTTTCGGTTGTGTAATAAATTTCTCATATTCGGTTCTAAATTGAAATTAGGGATTCGGTTGAATCATAGGACGCCCAAAATATAACGATTCGACGTCAACTGTCGAGGACTTGCGAGGTAATAAATGCTATAGATAGAGTAAAACTGGGTCAAACCGCACACTATATTATTCTGCACACTGATCGAAATTATTAAATAAAAACTAAACGGATATGGCCATGAAAAAAATAAAAATACATTCAAATACAGAATTATCTCCTCTATTCGAATTGATAAAATTATATGCCGATTCAACTCCATTTTTTTT